AAGGTTTCTCCTATAGGGGGAATGGGTGTTTTTAAGATAGGGTGCTCGCCAAGGATTGGGGCCCTTGTGCCTACGTATCTTAACTTATAAGAAGTGGAAAATCAGAGCGTTCGTAGTTCGTGGGACTACAAGAAAAAAAGGGGATTGTGCTCGCCAAGATCATCGCAATCTTGTGCCTACGTATCTTACATTCAGAAGAGAATGAAGAATCAGAGTAGTCGTAGTTCGGCTAACTACGGTAAAAGGTTTATGAACGAACGAGTGTTTATGTCGCATTCTAACTGCTAAACATTGGCTTATCTGCTCGCTAGGGGATGCTGAAGCACGAGTTCTTATGCGCGGAAGAAAGGAATAAACAATGTTCTTTAGTAAAAGGTATGGGAACCTAAAGGTGGGAAAGAAAGAAAAGTGCTCGCTAGGATCATCGCAATCCTATGCCTACGTATTCTCAACGGATGTGAGAAATCAGAGCAGCCGTAGTTCGGCTAACTACGGTAAAAAGGTTTGGTATGTGAACGAGTGTTTAGGTCGCATTCTAACTGCTAAACGTTGGCTTGTCTGCTCGCTGGGGGAAGCTGAAGCACTAGTTTGGTATGCGCGAAAGAAGGGAATAAACAATGTTCTTTCAGAAAGTGTTTGGGCTAGAAATCGCACGAGGGCGAGGAATTAGGTTTATCGTATTGAATGTTTTGGTTTGGGAAAAAGAATGGATTTGAATAAGTTTAAGGTTTCGATCACACGGGGCAAGAAAGAGGAGTTTGGTTAGGTAATTTTGATGGAGAATGCCGACTATTCGATAAACGAGACGTCGGCCTCGCAATCAATTAATCGGGGTATCATTGGAATGCTAGATTCCAACGACACCTTTTTCATTCAACTAACTTCAAAATTAGTGTTTGAGAAAGTTTCAATCACACGGGGCGAGAAAAGAGAGTTGGATTGAATATTTTAAGGGAGAGTGACGTCTACTCGATAAACGAGACGTCAGTCTCGCAATCGATTAACCGGGATATCATTGGAATTCCAGATCCCAATGATACCTTTTTCATTCAATTAATTATGAAAGTGTATTTGAATGGACAATAACGATATTTGTCCAAATAATTAGGGTGCGTATTTTATAGACGAAAGGTCGAGCAACCCACAACCTAAAGCGTACGCCCCAAGAGCGGTTACTCAAGAATTTAAGGAGTGCGAGACTCCAAGAACTCAGTTCTTTCGTAAAATAATTTGAATTTGATGTACGGTTTAGAAGCGTACTAGGGTTTAGACTCGATCACACGAAGGCGAGGAACGAGGTTAGACGGGTTGAAAATTTGGGAGGAATGACGACTACTCGATAAACGAGACGTCGGCCTCGTAACCAATTAGTCGGGATATCGTTGGAATGCTAGATCCCAACGACAATCTTTTTCATCCCATTAATTATGAAACATGTTTGTTGGACAGTAAATACTTGTCCAAATAATTATGGAAATATTTTAGAAACGAAAGTTCAAACGACACACCATTCAAGGCGTACGCCTCTATAGTAGTCACTCTCAAATTCGAGGAATGCGCGACTCCAAGAACTCGATTCTTTCATGATTTGATTTAGAAAATAATTTGAATAGTTTAGCGTACTCGGACTAGGCGCGCTAGGTATTCTTGAAAATAAGATCGGAAGGGTCACAACTCGAGGTGTGCACCTCGAGAGCGGTCGCTTAAAAAATTCAAGGAAGGCAAGATCCAAGAATTCAATTGTTTTGAAATTTACTTAAGAAAAAAAGTTTAATTTAATTAAGAAAAATAGTCTTAATTTTTATAAAATTAATTAATCAATTGTAAAGTTTTGATTTGGGAAAAGTTTAATATTTTAGAAAAGTTTTAACTCAATTAATAAAGAATAGCTTTTCAATATTTAAAATGTTATTTGTTAATAGTTTTGAAATATATTTATTTAAAAAATAATAATTGGAAATTTCTTATAACAATATATAATCATATAAAAATTGACTAATAATATCTTTTAGAAATTTTAATTGAATTGAGTGAAAAACGGTTTTGAAAATCGAAAAACGGAACAACCACAACTCAAGGGCGTGCGCCTCGAGAGCGGTTGTTCAAGGACCCAAAGGATGCTAGACCCCAAGAGCCCACTACTTTCGATAAATTAATTAGGAAAAAACTAGATTAAATATGTTGGGAAATAATTAGTTGAATTTTGAAAACACTACTTTAAAAAAACAATTTAAATTGTCTTGGCAAGTCTAATGGGTATAAGATTAATTACCACTTAAAATAATAATAATAATCTTTACTTTTTATACCCACATCAGTCAAAAGCTAATTGGTTAGTCCAAAAGAAATCTCTACCAGCCTGTTTCATGAAAATAATAACAACCATAAGGAATGGCACTAAAGCCCCTAGTAGCCGGTAAACCCAATGAAACCAATTATCATTTGTATCATTTAACCATGGCATCAATGAATAAGAACTTTCATGTTTTTAAAGTAAAAGAACAATAGCTTTTTATCCTAGAACCTTTACAACCAAACATTTGCAACAAATTAAATACAAGCACATTAGAAACACGCAATCACTTGTTTACCATAGCAAAAGTAAAACAGAATATACTCTATCCGAGAACTTACGATTTAGACGGCCGAAATCAGTTCGAAGAAAAAAAAACAAAACGCTTAGAAAAGCAAAGAAGATGCACAACTATCGGCAGCATACCAATTTTGGCAAAGCTCATGGATTCGCAAGATTATAATTAAACACAAACGAATAATCGATAATCGAAACCAAACTAATTCGCATTTCCAGCATTATGACACAAATACGAAACTCACACTTTCAGACTATAAATCGCAGTAGTGGCGCAACGTTTCGATGCTGAAATTTAACATAAACATAAACAACTGACTTGCAAATTCAGCACAAAGACAAACGAAATACAGCTAGCATAATGCCTAAACTATACTAAAAACCGACTCAACAACATATAATTAATCTGTGAAAAACAAAGTTTCTTGAATTTTTAAATACAGTGAGGCAGCAATCATCAGTAATCATCTTAAGAAAAAGAAACAAGAATAACATCCCAAGTCTGAACCCAACACAATAAAAGCATAGTCATTGATTTCTTATCTAACATATTAACCCTTAGCAAGACATTGAGCATAACAGGAAACATGAGATTATTAAGACAAATGCGAATCGTTACCGCCATAAACGATAGTAGCTGCTGCTAAGTTAGGATGTTATTGAGGTTGTGACGTCGTCGGAATCATTGTTGCTGTTTTGAAATGGTGTCGTCGTGTTATCGTAGAAGAGATTGATGTCGCGTGATACCGAGTCCGTCAGGCTGAAAAATTGCCTATAGTTCTTTTTCCCAATACAGTTGTTGAGCCACCGGCAATGATGATCAAAGTGATTTACACACTTGTCGCAAACTCTACAGTGCTTGCTGTATTTGAAGACCTCAACTTCACACAAACTTTTGGACTTGAAAATCCCAGGATCTGCAGGATCTGCTGCAGCGCACCAAATGTAGAGTCCAAAAACAACAACAATTAGAGGTGTGTAGAGAGCAACGACAATATACTGATACATCTTGTTTCCAACAAAAGGAGCAAAAAACACGCAGAAAGCAAACCCCAGAGCCAAAAACACAGCAACAGCCACAACCTGAAGAGGGTGGTAAGGTAGCTGCCATCCATGCTTCCTCATAGTTCTACTTGAGAAAAAAACACAATGCAAATAATAGAGAGAAGTAAGTATTAGGGAAATGTTAAGTGTTATTTCTATTTCCACCGTTGTTGTCGGGTTACTATTTTCGTCATTCCAGTCTGTAACCGAAATGAGGCCCCAGATTAAACCTTGTTATGTTTTTGACCAACTCACAATCATGGCCGTATTCTCCTGTCAAATGTAACATACGTCCTCGAAAATCCAAATGCACAAAAATATTGTAGGTCAAACTACACAAAGTATGGATCATGAAGACAGTAAATAAACCCAACGAAATTGAACCCAGACCAACTATACCAAAAATCCAACCTCATGAAACGAAATCATGTCCTTACCAAAATACAAACACTACTTGATATGGATCTTTTCCTGGCTCAATCCCTGAAACTGATCCTGTTATGCTTCGTCGCAGCCAAAAAATGCTTTGAGTTTTTTTTCGGTACACACGCAATCGCCGTGTAGTCCTAGTTCGAAACCGGATCCGCACAACCATATGCACTGAAGTTCAATCCCTTAGTGTCGAATATACCATTCTACTATTAACACCAGAATAGATTTTGCCTTCACAGTCGTGCACCATGGCTCGTGATCAAAACCTCAAAGCGACGAAAATAGCGAGGCATTATTGTTGATGTGAACCAAGTTGGATTCGAGCTTCTGAATCTCAAACTTATAACCTGCATCCACCAAAGAAAAACAGAGAAAAAAAATGGCTCTTCAAGCATCTAAATGAGCCCCCAAATAATCCAGCCGATAGACCTTATCTGCAACATTTGAAAACACCAGACGCGCACTGCACGATAATACCAGCCTAGCTTTACCAAGCTCGTCGAACCTGCGTGTTTCGTAGTATTGTGATCACGCACCAAAATCAAAGGCGAAATGTTGTATCTAATGACACAGTTGCAGATGTTGAGTTGCGGTGAATGAGTGGTGAGATGAGTTGAGATCCATGGTGAAGTATACGCGCCTCCGATTCGTGTTTTCACTCACATCTTCGAAACACGGTAACTTCATAACCTTGCGAACTGAGACCGAGATTTAAAGCAAGTCAAAACTGGCATTGATTCCCTAATTTGTTCAGAATCAGGGCCCCGCTGCGTTTGTTGCTCTGAAAATCCATAACTGTCAGCTACACCATTTTCTTTGACCTCATTTGCAGCAAAATAATCCCTAGCCTGGACATCTCCACCCAGCATATAGTTGGGTACTGGCTTATTAATTGTACTTGGAACATTCAGTTTTGAATCAAGATTGCTCTGAGCTAACAAGACTGCCTTTTTTCTTGGGGTGCAAGGAAGAACGTCTGCATAAATTTCCTCCGCAAGTTGTCCTTAATTTGCACAGGTCCAGAAACCATCACAATAACACCACCACTCCAAGAATCCAAAGAGTGTGCAGTCTTGATTTCAATTCTAGTATAGCTGAGTGACATAACCAGTGCATGGATTTGGAGCATTGCGGCGACAGTTTCTCTAGCGTTTCTGTCGATACGAAGCATGGTACTAGCATCTGAGTAGAACTGATGAACGAACTCGGGTTGATTCTGAAGGATATGGTAGTACTGTCTGACGAAGTAAGTCCCGACCTGAGCAGCGGTGAGAGGAATGGGAAAGGGTGTAGCCATTATCCTTACCCAACTTGGTATGCAGTACATCTTTCTAAACCTATAGCCGTTACCCACGCATCTCCACAGAAGAAATTTCAACCTCCGACAACAATTACTATCTCGACACCAAGGCGGGAAGCAATTGCAACTTCACTTGAAACTAACATGGCCACCTTAGGATCAATATTGCAGGTATCGGAACCGGTAAGTGCTGATCCACTAATTTTAGAGCAACTCTCTGCCATCTAAGGTTTGACAATGCTTTGGACTTGAGGCTATTTACTTGAAAACCTGCACGTGAAATCAAATACAGACAGCAGGGTAGCAGTTGCGCATCAGTTCCCGAATTATTTGTTGCGTCCTGAGGTGTTATTGTTGCTACTTCTGAAAGTCGTTGTTATGCCACTAACGGAAACCGCGCGAGCTGAGGATGTCGCATCCTAGCTAGGAGCAGATACGAGAGTGCACGAGGTTGGTGCGGTCGAGCTCAGTTGTAGCTCACGAATAGTGATCTGATGGTGTCAATGTCACGGTGAACTGCTGCTGTACTGATACAATTTTGCCGGTTCCATTACATGTACCACACGTAGTCTCCATTTTAAATATGCTAGCTTGTATAGATGGTGTCAATGTCCTGATCCTTTACAGAGTTTAAAGGTTTCAGGTCTTGTACCAAGAGGAAACCCCACTCCCGCCTTAACATCCTATCCGCCAATGTTTTGATGAAAGAAGTGCTTGATAAAATCGTGATCACAGAATATCTGCTCAAAGGGATTAAAGCTACCAGCACCACCGTCTCCAAAACCATTGCTTTCTTGGTTTACAAAAGCATCATGGCCGACCAGTCTGAATCAGTTTGGTGTCACTGATAATGGAAACAGGCTGTGTGAAAGTTGTTGCGTGACGGCGTGATGTGAACCATAACTTGAAAGTTGTTGCTGCATCCGTGCGAGTCTTTGCGAGAATGAAACAAGGTTGTTGCTGTTAAAGTTTGATGGTGCTACAACTTCGATTACACACACGGTATTAGCGAATACTCTCCTCCTTATGGAAAAAACGGAGGAAGAGGGTAAGAGAGTCTTGAAATGAGGGTTGTTTGTTGATGGTAGTTCAAGCTTGAAGGTTAATCGAGAGCATGATTCAGAGAGGGGTGCACACCAACTGTTTGTGAGAAAGGCTTTTGTTTAGAAACACTTGCTTTGAGGCTTGCTTGAAGCTGGCGGATAAGTTGAATAATGCTGAGTTTGTGATGTTGTGGATTGAACGTGCTTTATGATAGAAGAATTTGGATCTGAACTTATCCGGTAGTGCACTCTTCATTTTGCATCCTCAATCTTCATTGCAGGTCTAAGTACGCAATGCTTCCCAATCTCACTTTATCGCCGGATTGAAAATGATGAAGAGGTTCAGCTGCTACATTGTTTGTCAGGTCCTCAAAACCCCTTTTCAGCAGCAGCATAAGTCACCCTTTTGCATCAGAGAAATGTAACAGCAGCAATCCGTAAGTATCGAAATCGATCTATTCGAACCAAACCGTTTGAACCAGTGATTGCACCTAAAAATAAATAACATAGCATCGAAACAAAATCAGAGGGAAATTCTAGAATCCTAATTGCGATTGATGGTGAAGGATCTGAATCAAACGACGTTCAAAATTGTTCTACGGGAGGTTCACAGTGGTGTTTATGAGAAGTGGATGTAAGGGGAAATTCTATAAAAAATCTGAGAAAGGGTAATGAATCATGGTGAACACGGTCGATGCACAATTTGAGAAGGTGGCGGTCTCGGTTGAGAGTGAAGGAGATGGTGTTTTACGGTAATGGTTGAGGATGATGATAATGGTTGAAGGAGGAAGAAGAGGAAGGAGGTGGCTGGTTTGAGATGATGATACGGACGGGATGATCTAGGGTTTCGGCGGCCGTTTAGGGTTTGAGCGCCGTTTAGGGTTTTCAATGGGATAGTGAACAGTACCGAGATTAGGGTTTCTGAAAGGGGGGTGGCCCAAGCTAGGGCTCGATGAACAGTAACGTCCTAATTCTCTAGGGTATGTGAACAATAGCTAACCTTATATACTATTTCTAAACCCTAATTTCCCCATCTAACCAACCGTGTTTCTCATTCAATCTTTTTCTATCAATCTTTTTGTTTTTTTTTCTTTTAATTAATTAATAATTCTTTTATTATGTTTTCTAATTATTATATCAACTATTACTAACTTAAATTCTAATCTAAATTTTTTTAAAAATAAATCCTAATTAAATTCTAACTCTATTTTTCTTAATCTATTTTTTTTAAAATTAAAATTTCTAAGTTATAATTAAGTTCTAAATTAAATCTATCTAATTAAATTTTTAATTTAAATCCTAATTTCTAATTCAAAACTAATTTAAAAAAAATTATATTAACCTATCATGAGAAAAAAAATGAAATTATAAAAAAAAATGATAGATATATATAAAAAACAAATGCCATGTGGCATGCTCTTATTGGGCTAAAAAAGGTAAAAATGCTCGTTTTTGCTGAAAAATACGCTACGCTGTACAAGCAAGGTAAATTAAGAACAAAATCGGGCAAATAAAAATTTTGAAAAAAGGTAGGACAAATTTGGGGTATGACAGCTCCGTCATCCTTTTGGTGGTGGGTCTGTCATCTTAATTGATGTCAGATTGTGCGATAATGTTTGTCCTATCATGCTTTTGGTGGTAGTGGCCGTTGTGAGTTTTGCTCCGTCATCCTTTTGGTGGGGGGTCTGTCATCTTAATTTATATCAGATTGTGCAATAGTGTTTGTCATATCATCCTTTTGATGGTAGTGGCCGGTGTGAGTTTCTCTCCGTCATCTTTTTGGTGGTCGGTCTGTCATCTTAATTGATGTCAGATTGTGCGATAATGTTTGTCGTATCATCCTTTTGGTGGTAGTGGCCGGTGTGAGTTTCACTCCGTTATCCTTTTGGTGGGGGGTTTGTCATCTTATTGATGTCAGATTCTGCGACAGTGTTTGTCCTATCATCCTTTTGGTGGTAGTAGCCGGTGTGAGTTTTACTCTATCATCCTTTTGGTGGGGGTCTATCATCTTGTAGATGTCAGATTGTGCGATAGTGTTTGTCCTATCATGCTTTTGGTGGTAGTGGTCGGTGTGAGTTTCGCTTTGTCATCCTTTTTGTGGGGGGTCTGTCATCTTATTGATGTCAGATCATGCAATAGTGTTTGTCCTATCATCCTTTTGGTGGTAGTGGCCGGTGTGAGTTTCGCTCCGTCATCCTTTTGGTGAGGGGTTTGTCATCTTGTTGACGTCAGATTGTGCGATAGTGTTTGTCCTATCATCCTTTTGGTGGTTGTGGTCGGTGTGAGTTTCGCTCTGTCATCCTTTTGGTGGTGGGTCTGTCATCTTAATTGATGTCAGATTGTGCGATAGTGTTTGTCATATCATCCTTTTGGTGGTGGTGGCCGGTGTGAGTTTTGCTCCGTCATCCTTTTGGAGAGGGGTTTGTCATCTTATTAATGTCAGATTGTGTGATAGTGTTTGTCCTATCATCCTTTTAGTGGTAGTGGCCGGTGTGAGTTTCACTCCGTCATCCTTTTGGTGGGGGATTTGTCATCTTGTTGATGTCAGATTGTGAAATAGTGTTTGTCCTATCATACTTTTGGTGGTAGTGGACTGTGTCAGTATTGCTCTGTCATCCTTTTGGTGGTGGGTTTGTCATCTTAATTGATGTCAGATTGTGCGATAGTGTTTTTCCTATCATCTTTTTGGTGGTAGTGGTCGGTGTAAGTTTTGCTCCGTCATCCGGTTAGTGGTGGGTCTGTCATCTTAATTGATGTCAGATTGTGCGATAGTGGTTGTCCTATCATCCTTTTGGTGGTGATTTCCGTTGTGAGTTTCGCTCCGTCATCCTTTTGGTGGTGGGTTTGTCATCTGATTTGATGTCAGATTGTGCGATAGTGTTTGTGCTATCATCCTTTTAGTGGTGGTGGCCGGTGTGAGTTTCGCTCCGTCATCCTTTTGGGGGTGGGTCTCTCATCTTAATTGATGTCAGATTATGCGATAGTGTTTGTCCTATCATCCTTTTATTGGTAGTGGCCGTTGTGAGTTTCGCTCCGTCATCCTTTTGGTGGGGTTCTGTCATCTTGTTGTTGTTAGATTGCGCGATATTGTTTGACCTATCATGCTCTTGTTGGTAGTGGTCAGTGTGACGTTCGCTCCGTCATCCTTTGGTGGGGGGTCTGTCATCTTATTGATGTTGGATTGTGCGATAGTGTTTAACCTATCATGCTTTTGGTGGTAGTGGTCGGTGTGACTTTCGCTTTGTCATCCTTTTGGAGAGGGGTCTGTCATCTTATTGATGTCAGATTGTGCGATAGTGTTTGTCCTATCATCCTTTGGGTGGTAGTGGTTGGTGTGAGTTTCGCTCCGTCATCTTTTTGGTGAGGGGTTTGTCATCTTGTTGATGTCAGATTGTGCGATAGTGTTTATCCTATCATCCTTTTGGTGGTAGTGGCCGGTGTGAGTTTCGCTCCGTCATCCTTTTGGTGGTGGGTCTGTCATCTTATTGATGTCAGATTGTGCAATAGTGTTTTTCCTATCATCCTTTTAGTGGTAGTGGCCGTTGTGAGTTTCGCTCCGTCATCTTTTTGTTGGTGGGTCTATCATCTTAATTGATGTATGATTGTGCGATCGTGTTTGTCCTATCATCCTTTTGGTGGTAGTGGGCGGTATTAGTTTCGCTCCGTCATTCTTTGGGTGGTGGGTCTATCATATTAATTGATTACAAATTATGCGATGATGTTTGTCCTATCATGCTTTTGGTGGTAGTGGCCGGTGTGAGTTTCGCTCCATCATCATTTTGGTAGGGGGTCTGTCATCTTGTTGACGTCAGATTGTGAAAGAGTGTTTATCCTATCATCCTTTTAGTGTTAGTGGCCTGTGTCAGTTTTGCTCCGTCATCCATTTGGTGGTGGGTCTGTCATCTTAATTGATGTCAGATTGTGCGATAGTGTTTGTCCTATCATCCTTTTAGT